AAGGATTTAATATTCTTTGCGACTCCAACTGTCTACCTCGAGCAGACCATTGATCCAGCCTAGACATTGCCAATGACTTCAGTGCATGAAAAGATAGGAGGGATGGCTAATAAGAGAAAAGGGAAGGGAAGGAGACACTAGAATTTACCTAGCTGCCTTACCTGGTCAGATGGGGGGGGGGATAAAGAATGAAATATTCCTTGTTTGTTTCATGTATCAGTGTCCCTTCTGTAGCAAGATACATATGACTGATTTGTTGTCTGGTGAGAGTTACTGCCTAGAATGATTTCAAGTGATCTCCCTCTGTGTCTGCAGTGTGCCTCAGCAATTAGTACATAGGTGTCATCCTGGTTCTAAGGATTTCTGGATGGCAGGGATCAGTAGATCCCTTTCAGTCTAAGTGCCATCCTGATTTCAGGAATGAAAATGCCTCACTCTCACTGGTGAATGTTCTAACAGTGGGAACTACACAGAAAGAGGCTGTTCTCAGCAGCTTTCAGTGCCACCTCTGTCAGAATACGACTGGGAAGTACAATGTGGTGCTAATTTAAATCTTGCCTGGAGCTGGTATTCAACTGTTCCATCTTTTCCCCTAAGCTGTTTTATTAGGCTATGAAAAAGTGGCCTAAATAAGTATGTAAAAACAAATCTACATGGACATTCCCACAACCGGATGGCAGCAGACTACCATTCCTCCTCAAAAAAATTATATACAAGGGCTACCAGCTGGTGAAAATCAACAGATTGTCACCATTGAAGAAAGGTGGCTTCTCACTGTCAATCCAAAAAAATCTTTGTAGAATCCTTTATGGAACTGGATTCCTTTGGAAAGAACAACCTAGCATTGCTTGATTCCATCAATTATTGAACACAAATATCCATGTTGAGGAAAGTAATGAAGCTACCAGATTGGGGGACTGATTGGTAGAAAAACACAGAAGAGATTAAAAAAGACCTTGGTTGGAAAAAATGTTGGTTTCTTTTTTTACAAATATTTGTAATTTAGTGCAAAGTTCTAGCTTCAACATTAGTTTTGGAATGACTGAATACATGATTTAAGACAATAAAAGGCAGCTTGTAGTCAAAACACAAATAATCTAAAAACACAAGTTACACAAATTACACAGTGGTTCCAATATATACCTGCCCACAACTGCAAGGTATCCGGTATACTCCTGCAGTGGTGAGGGGTCCCTTTTGTCCTTTGCTGACCATAACATTTGTAGTTTAAAAAGAGGCATAATCAAAACATTGGTAGACTGTGCAAATCAGAACTGTGAAACTCAATTTCTCAGCACCGAACTCAACCATCTGAATTGGGCCCTACAAGCGAATGGCTTTTCAAAGAATGAAATCAAAAGAGCCATCAAACCAAGAAAACAACACCAAACTGAAGAAAAACAGCCACCCACAAATAAAGTATTTCTGCCGTACATCAAAGGGGTCACGGACCGCATGAGGAAACTTTTGAGAAAACACAACCTACAAATAGCATTCAGACCCACCACAAAAATACAACAAATGTTATGGTC